GTCTTTACTCCGGGCTGCCTAATTTTTAATCTTTAAGGTCTATTTAAGCTTTGTTCCAAATTTAAGGATAGCATGATAAATACAAAAGAGTTTATCGAAGAACGCGTGAGGGAGAGTGGTGCTTTAATGCGCTAAAGTACTTTTTCAAAATATCGCGCACCAAGCGGGACAAAAGTAAAAAACAAATCCAGAGATCATAAAGATAACGATATTCTTTTCTGCAGGCACCCTAACTAATGCTGTGCTTTTTATTCTAATTAATACCTTTAGTTAATAAATCAAGCGARAAAAGAGCCTTCAACCGGAAAATAGAACCAGCCCCCTTTGCGTGCGTGTTTTTTAAATTGAATTCACCTTATATTGTTACGCATACAATAAATGTACTTGACTCTCGACCCTCACTCAATAGCTTTAGACAACACGTCAGTATCGAGGTCAAAATCATCAATACTTCATAGCCGCTCTATGCATCTCATCTTCTTGGTTTAACCGAATTTTAGTTGTTTTTTGRCTGAAACAATCCTCAGTTTCTTTAACTCAGTATTAATCTAATTTGGAAAGCTTTGCTTTCGTATCATTTTCGCACTCAGCTGTCGCGAGCAACATGTCTACGCTCTATGGATTTGGTAAGTTACTGATATATCAGAAACTAATGTTAGATAAACTCACAAAAGGCAACTTGTTTTTGATATTTTCATGTTGTTAAGGACAAAAAGACTGAATGAGTAATCAGTTATTTTTAAGTATAGACAGAAGGAGTRAGAAAATAGAAAGGGCTTTTTCAAGATAATGCTATCTCATCATCTCATGCCATAGCAAATACACTAAGTATGCCTTTGCTTACAATTCAACAAAAATACACTGAACAAAGATAATCAAAGAATATACATATATTAAATAATGATTTATACTCCTCTGAACCCCCTGATAATTTAGTTACGTATAAATATACTATGAAATTAATTTTCGGTTGTTCAAATCGTTGATGAAGCGAGTGTATAAGTTTAGTTTTTAATCGGTGCCACCGCGGYTCAAATCGTTTTTATCGCGCTTCAATTACTCTGACATACGTCCACTTTACTATTGTGTCAGGCTTATGGTAAAGGTATGTGAATTAATCGCAATAGATGACACAGAAATATAGAAGAGTACGGGRAAAATAACGACCAATCATTGACATGTAAAATCTTAGATGGGCTCCTTTGGCATCGGCATATGAAATGAGAAGAAGACATTGACATGTGATATTCAGTTTGTTACATCTTTCGTGCAGATTTATAAGGTTGCATTGTTTAATACTTAAGAGATACACATCGTTTCGTGACGGTTTCTGATCGATGCTCAAAAGTAATCTCGTTTGCTGTTATTGGTTTAAACCAAATAAACGAATGTTTTCAGTTCAGTACTGTTACCGTGCCGTGTGTCATTTTTTCATAGACATTCATAGGGAAATTAGTTAAATCCTTTGTCGATTTTTGTTACTTTACTGCCGGATTCACTGTATCGTGACGAAATAATGGCTGAAGGCTTCACTGAGTGAAGGGAATAGATTTTTCACATTCAGTTAAACGATCGRATTCAACACAACTATCTTAGAAGTTCCGCTGTCGGATGTAAAACAAAGAGGTATGTATCATTAGAAGGGTACATTATACACATATTTTTGTGCTGTTGAGAAATTTGACTATATATAGATTTACATTTCAATTCAATTCTTAATCACATGGGAATAAATTACTAAGATTATGTCTACAGCTTAGCGATACTTCCTGTGCCTGCAGAGGTTCTGGCTGTGATCAGATTAATTGGGTCCCCAAAGTTGTAGCACATTGTGAACAATTTGACATGCCACTGTGAAGGAAATTGACTATGAGAAACGATTAGAACGGTAATGGTTCGTTCGTTCCGTCGTTCGTTCCGTCGTTCGTTCCGTCGTTCCAGTTTATTGGTTTGTTCTTTTGCTTTTGTTCGTTCGCTTGTGTGTTCGTTTGTTTGTTTGTTTGCTTCTTCCTTTGCTTCTTCCTTTGCTTCTTCCTTTGTTTCTTCCTTTGTTTCTATCATTTGATAACTTTCTTGCATCCATTATGTTCTTTTACAGATCGCGAAGAAGTTGAACAACTTGAAGTCCGGATCCTGGACGTCGATCATCAAATCACACAGGAAGAACTTTCTGCAGCATTAGAGTCCAGTTCTCTCAACGGCTTCAATATCATCAWACAAGAAAGCCCCAGCAAGCTCAACCAAATGCAACCCTGTTTCACTGTTGAAAAAAGAATAAAGTTTGGCAAAGTAAAAGATGAAGAACCAAGCCTTGTGGAAATATTTCCAGGAGCATGTACAAGACAGATGCTACAGCAGCTAACAATAGGGTGTCAAGGAAAAGCACTGGATGAGCAGGACTGTGTATTTGGAGTCGAAATATCTTCATTTGGGAGATGCAATGTCTACAAAGTATGTCCCATTTTGAGGATAGACATCGAAGATGCAGATGAATAGGGCGGCGGGTAAAAGAGACAATAATCATGACTGAAATGATTACTGAACGGACGGGTATAACTGATAATTGATTAGGCMCTCGTTAAAAGATAAATCTGTATGAGGATTTAGCTCATCATCACGAAACAATATAAACTTACTACAGTAGATCGAGTAACAAGCTATGTCCTTCAAGTTATTAAATAGAAAATGAACTAAACTATATTAACATCAAGTATATTAAGTTAGGAGACAAACTTTCAATACAATTCAACTGATAAATAAATGCAAGGGAATTTCATTTAGAAATCAATGTCCTCGAAACAATTACATCATGCAATTGCAAGTTAGTTTGATAAGATAAAACYGYTAATTCAAGGTTTTCTTTCCTGTTTTTTCTTCCTTCCTGATTTCTTTCTCTTTCAGTCCTTCCTTCTTTCTTCCTTCCTTCCTTCCTTCCTTCCTTCCTTCCTTCCTTTTCTAACCCAGTATATATGCTTGATATAATGTAGCTTGATATCGCATGGTTCGTTACGGTTTTCAAGTCACTTACTCAATAGCTCAAGATCGAGTATCATACTGGGAGAAATTATAAAAGCAACAGCTTCGTGATTGGTTGAACGCCGAGACAAGCGGTGACCAGGAAGACTGAGCCTTCATGCAAGAAGCTTTTACATCACCATAGCAATTTAATCCCCTATTCGATCTCATTGGTTAAACTCCGCTACTTTAGACAACAAAGCAAGAATAAATATAAATGAATTGGTATTAAAATTTGAAAATAACAGAATAATACTCTATGGTATAAATAGGAAACATTGATGCTTGTTGAGCGTCTGGCAGTGCATTCTCCATCCAAATATTAATGAATTTGCTAATACATATCTTGAGAGTTCGTGATTGGATGCCAGATTCATTTAGCTCTTATGTAGTGTTTYTTTATTTGTTTTGTTCGGCCGATGAAGTGACATGGTTATTTGGTAACGGAAGAAGACTCGACGAGACTTTATTAACGACGACATTACAGTCAAGCGAGAGTGCATGACATCAATCAGGTACAGTTACACAAGACGTCAGTATCCAAGGAAAAACTTGCGAGATAGAGACAGCTAAATATAGGAGCAAAACAAATAAGCCTTACAGAAAAGCATTGAAAATATTGGCCTCGCTACAAACAATAACCAGTGCTGCTCTTTTTGATGTACTATAAAGCAGGTAAACCAATTCCTCAATCTTATCCCAACCAAACTACTCAAACGCCGTGGATTAACATATCGTTCATCACTTGACAATCCGAGTGATCTCTTCTTCAAGGCTCAGCTGTTAGTAATTCACATTTTCAGAAAATATGAGGGCTGAGCGAAGCTACGACGTGCGGCCTTCACACGCATCTATACCGAACTCGTTTTGGTAGGAAAAAATTCTTGAAAAAGAAAAATGCCTTTTGGGGACTGTTGGCCATGTCTGTAAGTAGAATGAAATATTTTTTCTTTGAAATAGCGCTTGATATTTTTATACTCAATTATTTGTGTGACAAATCTATTCTTGACGATTTGCCTCTTCAACGCCGTTTATTTGGGTAAAAAAACCTCGTTAATGAAACACTCTTTTCATCTCTACATTATCATTATTTTCATTAACATTCATARCGTATCCAATTGTTTAAAACCAGTGTTTTTGTTTGTTAAGCGAACGTAAATTGCAGAGGGAATTATATATTCCTCGTCTGTATTTTTAATATTGAGTTTAATGTCAGTGACCGATACACTATATTCTTATGCTGGAAAACTGATAGGTTGAATGAGTCAGTCGAGAACAGGTGACTTTAATGTTTTTTTTTCTTCAAACAAGCATTTTGAAAAATATTTAAGATCTAAACTCGTATCTTTACTATAAGAGTAGGAGCAASTGTCTCAATTTATTACCATGATGTATCGCTTAGTTTCATCGCATTGCATTTCCTTCTTCCAGTTTATTAGTTTTCATATATAAAAAACAATCACAAATAAGAAAGAAAGAAAAGGAAAACAACGTTACCTCATACTGAGGTATAGTTAAACGACTTTCGCTGTGTGACACGACGATTTGTGATAAGAACAAGTTTTATATCTTATCAGTATTCTTGAGCGAAACGGAAGAAAAATAACAAGAAAATAAATAACAAGTAAATATCAAATAGCTTATCGTGCCCGATGGGAATCCCATTTATAATTAATTCCCGCGCTAAAAAATAATGAATACTTTCAAATCATGGTTAACTCAATCCTATTTTTCTTCTTTTTCAATTTAGTCTTTTCATTTTACTTTATTAGCTTTTAATATCTGTGGCTATTCTGGCTATTATATGCAYAGTCTTTTTGCAAGCGCCCAACACTTCCCAAATATTAGACGACACTTTCGAGGCAAATGAGATATTGAATTCTTTATGAAAGTTAATATTGGATACTCTCTCTATTTCTCTCCTTCTCTTTTACGTTCTTCCTCTCCTTCTCCTTCTTCTCCTTCCGACCTCTTCGGTGATAGCGGTTTTCTCAACTCTAGCGGCTACTTCAAATCTTGGCCGGAGACTTTTTTCTAGTATCAAATTGTCATGCACACTTGACAAATATCAAGCTAGAATGACTGAAAATGATATCACTAAAAATTGAAAGGCTACTTTTATTTTATCTAGTTCTTGTTTCTTTATTTTATATCTTTTCGTTTGGAATTTCACAAACGACTGTTCTGTCTTATAGTGTGGACACTGAATGTGTTACGACAGACCTGAAAAGCTGTAAATTAGCTTTAAATTTGGCAAAGTGACACGGTTTAAAAATACGTGCCTAGGAGGACGAACATTAAGTAGGAAAACTGTTTTGCTATTTTTTCATAATACTTGAGTTTTATAAGAAAGCACTGTTATAGTAAATACAATTCAATAATATACTACTCGAATGATGCATGCCTTACGAGCGAGGAAATAATACGTATGGGAGAGGTTTACAGTCGTGATCTGCTGGTATATATATATATATAATTACGATAAACTGAACTAGCTGGCCCATGATAAACAAATAGCACAAAGTGAGACTGTTTTGGCAAGGTGTTGGCTGGCAAGACACCAAGTCAATAATATATAAGGCAAACGCGCTTGAATCAGTCTTAATGAAACCAAATTTCTATAAAGGAGTTTGATAATAATCTGTTGCCAAAAGTGATATTTTAATAAACTACATCCCTACTGCTGTCCTATTGGGAATTCAGTCATTTTAATAGCGCGCTCCCATGAAAGTTCCTCATTTAGCTTCTCATATTATCCCCCTTCCCTTGCTACATATTTTAGTGAAAGGCTTTATATATTTTCTTGGCAATCTTCAAAGTACGAAAGACCCTCTTTGCTACGCACTCGATGTAAATACAATTGCTTTAAAATTCAAGTAGTCTGATGACTTAAGCGGTATTTGTAGGATGAGAGTATGTATTTGTAGGGTCATTTGCAGCATCGTAGAGGTACTTTGGCCGGGTGTTATACATTGCGCAAATGCATCATTGTAGGAATCAGAAATGTAATTACCAGCTAGTGATGAGAACGAGTGCTATCCAATGTATTGAACATCATTTGTGACATCAGTTAGTATAACTAGATGACAAGAATGAGGATGGTGATGAATGATACCAATTCTGTGGGAATATTGGACACCTATATACAAGATATACAACGGTTACCACAGGTATACTATGCATGTAAAAAAACCCACATGACTTTCTACTATACTATGCGCAGAAGAACTCTTAGGCGAGTGTGTTTATTAAGAAATTACGAGTGACAAGTGGGATATTCCATGGTGTACCAAGAGAAAGCATCGTTTTATAACTTTCTTACGCGGATGTAGAGTCCCTGTGACTAGTCGTAGGTAGTCAGCRTATGATTGAAAGTTTTGGAAGGAAATTACATTCTTCTATCTCCGTTGAGACAGAAAAACCTAAGAGACACCAAATAGCGCCCACCTTTTAACCCCTGAATGATGCAACGCGGGTAAAGTGCCTCCAACTCCACCCTTGCCCCTTCCCCCGTGGTGTTACTCATGTGACTCATTCAAATGCCAAACTACTGACAGCTGTAATATATGCCTATGGTTAAAAACCCTTAGTTATTTATCGTTCGTTGGCATGTACCACGTGCCGTTTTGCATGCTTGCTTTATCTTGCTAAACCTTGACACAATTTTTTTCCGATACCCTGAAACATCCGATTCAAAATCAGGGCGCTGCTCAGCGCTAGCTCACAGATCGAACCGGAATTTTTATCTGTCAGGTCTTGCTTATAATTGGAAGTCTTTGCATAATATAATGGATAAACAAAGTAATATTAAGCTAGCTTCGTATGTTCTTTTCGGCAATCAAAGTATGAAAGACTGATCATTCATTCRGTTTTTTTTGCCGGTTTAAGTTGATTTCTGATGTTAAACTTTTATAACGATATTCACGTCATTCACACCCACACAATGATAATTGAAAACTTGGATGTCAAGAAATTGGATGTAAAGTCGACCTGATTGAGACGACGAAGTTTCATTAAGATAATGAGAAAGAATTAGTTTTGTACCTTAATCAAAGTAATAACGAAATGATTAAATTAGTGTGTACCAACATGGCGGTAATGGCGTSGTAACCTAACATGGTGTACGCACGGATGGCTTTAATTCAACATTCAGGCAGGGCGTCGGTGGAAGATCRATGAAAGACGAATATTAATTAAGCAACTGTTCAAATACTCAAAAGAGTCTGTCTCAAAAGATACAGAGACGTTTGTGTGATGTACTTGGTCGGAATAGCTGTTATTGTATTTCGTGAACTGTTTTGTTTATCTATATATTGTTTTACGCAACATCGTGGCGTCTTTGTATTAAGCCAAAAGGAGAGGCTTTTGAAAAATGTTAACTGAAAGTGATGGCTAAATTTTCGTCTTCCTTCAGTTCTCAGTAGTAGTACCCACGCTGTGTATGACGCCAGTAATACTGGCAATTAAAGCGATCAGCCTCTATTAATTTACAAAAAGCATCTGAGTCAGTAAGTAATGTTACGTTGTGTGACGTACGGCAACGTGCATGACTCTATTAGAGGTTTTGCACCACCACGTGCCCACGCCCATAATACAGCTTGGGACTGCCTGTGGTTAGATGGCAGAACAATAAATTGGAATTGAATTAGTTCTTATGTAAAACGATTGTATAACTCCTGTGATCTAACATGGCTGCCGTCGCTGCYGTCACGTRATGGTGCAAAACCTCTATTTGCTTTCTCTAGAATCCTTTCACGCACTTTTTGTTAGTTAAGGGAACYCGGCACGGGTGGAGCGGCTGAAGATCACTCGCCTCTCACCAATGATATGCAACCCGGGCTTGTTCCCGGATTTGGTGATGTCTTGTATATGATTAGAGCGCCTTGTTGGTTTTCTCTTGTCTTTAAGGGTTTCCTCCGGGCTATCCGGTTTTCCTCCCTCCGCTAAAGTCGACTTCTGAATTTCAATTCGATCATGGAATTAGGGCCACAGGCTTGTTAGCCACTGGCTATAGAGTGCTAGCATCGTAAAAACAGGACTTGTTTGTTCGGTTTGTTTGTTTATTTCATTCAAGAGGCACCAATGGACTACTTCGACGATACGGCGACCATCTTGGATCTCAAGGCATTATGAGACATCCAGGGGGCAAATAAAGCTTTGTTACAGTAATGACTTCGATTGATATTAACAGCTTACCACAAGAGAATACAACAAAATTAATAAGATAATTTAGACGGCACATCCATCACTTTTATCTATGTTAAAAGATAAGACAAACACTCCGCAAATCTATCATATTTATCGTTGGCTTCGTATTGTTTTGTCCCCTGGCAAGATGGCTGCCGTATTGTCAGAAGAAGTACCATTGGTTTACTATTTCCAGAAGCAGTATTGCACGAGGTGAATAAAAAAGAATCATTCTTGATTTCCGCAAGGACCTCTAGCAAGATATAGTAAAGCAATATAACGCCTTCAAGCAAGTATTGATATTTTTAAAATGCGCGCATGAGACAACAATCATCCACCAGTCACGAGATGTTGAACAAATAATTTTTTTTTTCTTAAGAAAAATGAAATCCCCTGTCGATCGGCGCAAAAGTATTACGGGACCGGCTTTAACGTAGCTGCTGTAAAATACCTCTTAATCCGTGTGCGTATGTGGATTTTTTTGCGGGAAGGGAGGTATAGATGGAAGGGGAGGGGGATCGGTATTACGAGGCTTAGTTATATGGTTATGCTTTATATCCGTATATACATCYCTGCCAACACAGCATATAGTAATATAATGTTGATGTTCAGTGATCGGGCATGACGTGGCTGTCTCCCAAATGTCTCGAAAAACTGTGTTGACCTTTGCGTCATAATATATAGCAGAAATTATAACATCAAAGAATCATTTTCCGTATCATTTTGATGGTCTTGCCACTGAAGGAATTGTCACTTTAGTGCTGACCGCAATGATTCGTACCTGTTGCCATGAGCGAGCCCTGTGGTCTAACCAAACCATAGAGATACGYATGATAATCCTGCGTACGTTAATCGYTTGTTACCGAATATAAAGTGGTATGTGGCTAATCATTCTTTGTTGCGTTTTCAATTCCGGCTCCATATAATATCTATCATAATCCATAACAGCTGCGGCYATGTCATTTGCGCATGCTCTGTGTGTAACGTAATGCGAGGAAGGCGAATTTCTGGTTTAGCGTAAAKCCTCTTGATGGTACTTGTTCCTTGTGGGTGTCTCGTTTAATTCCATCAATGTCAGGGGGATTTAACTCGCTATCWGTAATAATAAGTCGCTTTGAGTACACCGCGTTTATGTTGAAGTCCTTCCTGAGTAATTTTTYAATTTATTCATGAAAATAAAAGTATCTGTTTTGGAAGGTCTATCACGCTTTTTTTATTTTTTATCGTCTTGAATAGAATTACAGCCAATCCGAAACAAGAAATTATCGGATAAACACTCACATCGATCATTCTGCACCTGTCACGGAATCCGTCACCATAGAAACCAAGGCGTCACGTGTCTTCCACAATCTACTAATATGCGCGATTTTGAATTTTATCAATTACGYTCTGACTTAGGATAATATCATGAGATTATCCAAGGATATTTTTTTCGCTTTGTCAACATAATTCCTGAAATACCCAACCTTACAGTTTTAGTCTTTTTTGTTGTTCATTATGCGTGCGGAAGGTACATGAAGATTGGGGGTTTTCTCGCGCAGACGTTGTTTGTGTAATTAGAAATATTTTTCTCAATGGCTTTTGTTATCATAAGGTTTGACCGCAATTCTCTTTTTGCGAATCCCAACAGCTTTCATGCGTTATTAATGTGATAGCATAATAAGATTGTGCGATTTCTTCTGACCAGAGTTGTGGAACTTATTAATAATAACTGGCGATCACTGTGAGCCGTCCGAACACAATGAAGGAAACTATGTGGCGTCAACAACGCAGAAAACGCACGAAGATTATAACACTGAATTAGTTCTTCCTTTCCTACAACGTCAGGAAGATAGAGGAGCTATTTTATTGAAAGAGTATGTGTCTTTTATTTGTAAAAAATATACGAGGATTTACGTCTCAATATGGAAAGCTTATCGGACACAGACAGTGCCAAAAATTCCTGAAGAATTTTGTCGGTATTTTTCCTAGAGTTACGCATAAATTCTACTGCTTTTCTTTCACCGTAGGGCTTTTTTAAATATCGGAAAAAATGCGCAGACAAAGGGAACGTCAATAGCAGAGATCTCAATGAGTGTTTGGGATAAGGTCAAGAGAAGGCTTGGTRCGGTGAATGGAGAGGGATCGGGGCTTTCACTGAACCCTGAGGCTGCGTTTGCTGAGGATCACTACACGAGGTAAGTATATTAACCACCACTTGTTTTCTACAGCTACTTAGAAACATTGCGGTTCAAGAATATYTTACTTCGAGGGGCCTAAGGAGAAGGAAAAAAATCGCCAAATTTCGTCGGCTTCGCTTTTGAACTAAAAGAATCTTTAAGTCATTAGGATTTAGATACCAAGAATCTACGTACTAAACTCGAAACTCGAAAAAGACCTAGTCAGAGTCTTTTAGCTGCAGAGTTCTGCTTCCGAAGGTCATTACCATCTTGCCATGCAGTTTTTATATTATGTCTTTCAAAACTGATGTTCAAAATTACAATTTGAATAGATTTGAAACAAGAATTGGGAGATAAACATAAAAATAATTAGAAAAGAGAGAGAAAATTCTCTGGATGATTTTGGTGGCCGTTGTATTTGGAGTCAAATTTAAATAGAAATAGGGAATTATTATAGAAATATGAATGCCGGATGTGGTATGATGAATGACTACTACAGCGCTCCACCAGCGCGCAGCTGTCATGCACGCGGCGTTGACGCCGCGGCGCAGCCGAGCTGTTTGTTTCTGTAATCAGGGGTATGGKATCTAGTCTTTTGTTTTCAATATGGCGGATTGTCTGACTTTCACAAGTCCTTCGGGTTTAGAGCCACACAAAACCAAAGAAAGAAAAGAAAGGTGATTCTTTATTATTAACATAAAATCCTAACTATCCATTTATAGAAACTCCTTTGAGATTTGTTCACTAACTTGATGTTTTTAGGCCAATATTTGATGTATTCCGCGACCCACCTGACAACTTTCAGTCGCTTCTTGAATGAATTTATTATTTCTGTTTCTCATTTAGAAAGAATTTTAAAAGCCATATGGCCTTCTAGTTTAGCAATTCTATTAAGAAGCTTGCCTATGGGGCTTTCAACGCCCCTAGCATTAGACAAATTAGGCTACTAAGACTTGTTTTCTACATTACCAAGCTTATCAAAWTTTTAGCTTACGTCTCGTTTGAATTTGGTGAGTTCGCTTTTTTGTTTCTTCATTACGAATTTTATGCTGCTTAAAATGTTGAGCAGCTTTTTTCATTTTTACGTTATTGAAACATTGTATTAAAGCTGGAAGATAAAAAGGACGGCTTTTGTTCSAGTATTTTAAGTTTTAAGATAAATTTTCAGAGGGATAATTTGTTGATCTTCCATGGATATATTTTCATGATCACGTAMACTTCTCTTTGTGTCAGATTAATATGTTATCCGTTCAACTTTATTAGCTTGATTATTTTAATGATTTGATCCGGTAATCTCTTAGCCAAGTGTCTGTTGCTCTGTTTTGTTTAAGGATATTTTTATGCATGGCGCAAGCAAAAAAAACTATCTTCCTATCAGACCAGTTCATCAATGATTAATGAGCTCTGCGAAGCAACTTCAGAATACCCCAATAATTATCACAATTATTGTGAAAAAGATTTAGTATAAAGCAAGTCGAACACAACAATAGGAGAACAAAAGGGGATTCATGTGTGCATATCATTTAAATACTGAGTATTCTGAAGTTGTACTGACTYAACATCAAAGTTTATCACAGTATTGTTGATGTTTATATTATATATATATATTAATTAATAATACAAACATTTTATCTACATCTATTCAACTGTCCATGATTGTCTGGTCATTTACCGGGGTAAGGTGTTGTGCTGTTACGACAACCAGCATTTAACAAATATGTTTATTTTTTGAAGGAAAAAAAGTTATTATAGGGTAGATATCTTTAAGATGCAAGGCCTTTTATCGTTTTTAAGAGGCATGGCTGTATGTAAGTGATAAGATTCAAGTAAAATACCTATTACACACAGTCAAATCTTGTACAGTAAGTGTAGATTCTAGGAGGACTGTTAAGCAGTAGTGTTTTTCAGTCAAATGTCTGAGTGAGTAAGAGATTAAGGATCCTATTTTGGCACCAAAATCTGCTGTGAGTGGCTATCAAACTGCTACRCTAAAAACCTGAGTTTTAAGATCAATAAGACCACCTTACATCTTCTACATATTAATTTCTAAATTCTTGCTAACCAAAAAATGCCATCTAGTAATTAGGATTCAGYATTTTTCAGTATTAATGGTGAGCTACATCACTAATGAAGCCTTTCACTTGATTTAGTACATTATGAAGTTTGTGAGAAAAGAGTTGGGGACATACAATGATCAAATGTATGGAGGAACTGTACATGTAGTTGCTTTTGTTCTAAGTGACCRTGGGATTTTCTCTCCACTTTATCACCATGCGTTGGTCTCAATATTTTGTCCCTTGCTGTTTTGCCATCCTTTGTAAGAATCTATACACAAATTGAATCAAAAATACAATATTATTTTTTTTATTCCTTTTTATTCAACTAGGTTTTCCCTCCTGCTGCTAGAACCTGGAGAAATATATTTTGAAGATTTTAGTGTATTTTATTATCCTTATAATGTACCAGAAGAAGAAGCTATTAAAAGGTAAGTTGATTTAGATTCATCTCTCTTGCCACCTTGGTATATCCTTGAGCTCATTTGTAGCTGAAGGGCTTGAATAATGGCTGGTCATTGGACAAT